ATTTTATTGTTAACAATAAGTTACAATAAAATGTTTAGCTATTATCAAATTATTTTCTGTAAATTTGGAATAGTGCATAAAACGAATAAAATATATACGCTTCATAAAGCGTTGAGTCAGCCTCCAAATGCATGTGCATTTGTTATGATATTCTAGTCCCTAAGTTTGTAGGCCCAAAGGGGAAAAAGGAAGGAGAGACAAGAAAAGACAATAGGAGAGACAAGGCAATGAGCAGAGGCATGTGTAGCATGCTTGTATGTGTGCCCGTAACGCGAAGAACTCAAGGGTGTGGTAGTGTTAGATCTTGTAGCCATCGGAATCAGTGGATGTGCACGTATACACCCTGGTCGTCTCAATCCATGTGTGAAATGCATTACTTTTGATTATTTTCAAATGGAGGTTTCATTTATTATATAAAAATTTTAGAATTAATACTGTTCATAAATTTATGCATCTAATTTATAAACAGTTTATAAAGTATTTAATAATAAACATGTTTTACTATTTCCGTCCTATGTTTTGTAGCTTTATTAAACGATAATAATTAAAATAATATTAGCTGTTAAGTACCTTGTACGTAACATTACGTTGTTTTTTTTGGACCATTTTTAAGGAATCAGCAGCCATATTGGCGTCCGACATGTTGAAGAAAAATCAGTCGCTTCAGGATTTTATTGCTGAAGGTCCATGGACAACTTATTTTGAGCTTTTAAGAGAATGCCCTCACTTTTTCCCAGTGAAAATGTAATCTAAAATAAATTTTTTCTACATACTAATTTAGTTCTAGAATAATACAATCCACAGAGTTGGAAGGTCTTGGAAAAATTCGTTGTATAGCTGACTATGTTCCGAAGCTAGTCACTTCATTACTTTATAATGTTTTATCAAATATCTAATCCGTAAAATTTTGTATAGTTTAATCAGGGAATTAAACAAAATATTAAAAAAAAACTTTTCTTTAATATTCTCACAATAGTAATCCATTAACACTAATTACTTTAATTAATTTACAAATTTTACGGAGGATGGAATAGTATTCAGTTTTTAGAAAATATATTCTAACTAATTGTTTAAATACGATTTACAAAAATAAGAAGACGTAATTCTTTATTAAAGATTCATATCTGTATTGCACAACGCAATTTTTGATCCACGACGATATATGTTTAACGTAAATGTTTTTATAGAAATGTGTTTTGAATAATTAAAAGAAATAATAGTTACAATTTGGCACTTCGAAACGGTGGCTTAATAAGGAATGTGTAAATTTTTTTTAAAATTTAGTTAAATAAGTTTAATTACACTCTAGTAAACAAAATGTTGGCTGCCAGGGATTCTTCTACAAGAAAAGGAAGAAAGAACATGAAAAGAAAAAGGCAACGAATAAAGTACCAAGTGGCCTAGGGAGTGACAATAGAAGACAGAAGGGTCCCTTCGAAAAAAATTATAGATGAGAATTTTACTACTATTAACCATGCAGAAACAGAGGTTCTGACCATTAGAAGAACAAAAAAGCAAGGCTTGCTTTTCGTTTTTAAGAAGGGACAAAACTTCTCGTTGTTCAACAATAAGTTAATCGAGGCTCTCAAATAAAAAGCTTGTGTCTAACTCCTGATAACAAGGAGATCACTAGAAATTAGAGATCTAGATGAGACAACAGACTTCATAGATGTCACAGAAGCCTAAAGAAACCTTTGGGCAGGACCGACCTATTAACTTTGCGCGAAGCCGTTATGATTACAATAATCCGACTATCAGGAGCTGACGTGGATTCTCTACTAAAGTCTGGTAAAGTTAGGGTAGGTTGGATAAACTGCAGGATCCGCAGCATGGTTTTAATTGGACAGACGACACAAATGCCTGAGCAATGGACATCTGACGAGGGTCTGAAAAGGATTCGATAGGAGTAAAGCTTGCTGGGTATGTGGCCTCCCAGATCATTCTTGCAAGAAATGTGTGCAGAAATAGGAGTAAAAAGGAAGTGAAACCTGTAGTGTTAATAGGGAGAAGCTGAAGAGGTTGAAACAAAAGAGATAATGTTTCTTTAAGTCAACCTCAGAATAAAAAGTATTACCCAAAATCTCCTTATCCAGTCTGACAAAGAGAGATAGACGAGTAGATATACTGCCCATTAGTGAACAGTAAAAGATGCAAGGATTCTCAAACTGATTTCAAAACATTTCAGGTAGAACGGCAATACAGAAGACAAAAAATGATAAATGAATTTCTTCTCAAATATGGTTTTACATGTAAATTAAAAAATTCAAATGATTTTAAATTATTACATTCTGCTATTGAAAATGAATTCGTAAATATAGTAAAATGTCAAAGCGAAGTAAAGACAAATTATAAATTTTTTTATTTAATTTTTAACCCTTTCTGCCTGTCACGTCCCGAGCTAGGGCAAGGGTAGTTTTATTAAATAATTAATAAAAGGAAGGTAATTCGCTGATTTATCAAGTTGGTAAGTCTTGACATTTATTTTATAGTGTGGATTCGTTTGACTTTGAAGAAACTATGGGTTTCCGTTAAATAATCATAAGCATATTCCTTTTTATGAGTGTAAATTTATTAATAATATTAATTTTTAACAATTACAAGTACTTACAATGTCGAAATTGTTGATTGTTTTGTGAGATAATGAGACCGCAACCCGTCTTACACACAAGTCGATTGGTTTAATGGATGTTGTTATGAATTTTTATTTTCAGTTCGTCCTTTTAGCACTTTGGCACTAAGAACCACTATTTTAACAGTTGATTTACAATTTCTAAGTGTTCTTTCTAACACTGTACCTTGATACTAAAGAAAACTTGTTTTCTTAGCAGTTGGAAAGAACTTGCACCAATCTTTTATCAAAATTAGAAAGATTTCGTAAATTATACTGTTATACGACGAAAGTGTTATTGAAATTATATTTTAATTAATGCAACTTGTTTCCCTACTAGAAAACTAGTCTTCTCTTTAACACTGAATTTAATAACTCAATTTCACGATAGAAGAGCCGACTCACGACACTATTCGGGCAGAAACTCACCGGAGTATTTGACAAATGCTCTAAGAAAATTAGGGGTTTATATAGTAGCTAAAAGTCTACTTGATTGGGGATGAGACAGTCAAAAGGCACGTATCCGTGCTAAAAAGTAGGTTAAGCGACATCCAGTGCGGTTAGTACTTGGATAGGTGACCAAGCTATAGCTTCGAATCTCGCTATAGCCCGGTGTTTTCTCACTACTTTCGTAATATATCAAGCTGGAGGTTTGACGTCGAGGTATAATGATGAGCACTGTCGATTATTATCCAGTACATACCGTTAGAACTCGGCTGCCGATAAACCGGTTGTACTCAAGAGAGGTTTTCTACAGTTTCCCTCTTCTCTGGCGAGAAAACACATTGACGGGTGGTCTAGGCAAATGCGAGTACTCCTAACCTCAAAAAGTCGTTCTGTAGAAACGCATAAACAAGTTGGTATATAAGAATGTGTGTTCTGACAGTTGGCCTAACCTCAAGTCATTTAGGAAGAAAAAAAATCATAAGAAGCAATGCTTTTTAAGACTACTGCGCATCTGTAAAAGCCTTGTACATCTACTATTAAATGTCAAGAAATTTATCAATTCTTAAAATCAAATATTAAAAAATAAAAAGTGTAAATTCTACTACTTAATACTTGTACATCTACTGTTCTGGCTCTAAAGTCTTTACTTTCTTTTTTTATATAATTAATTACATATAAACATGAAAATGAAAATAAACTTGATCATAAACATAAATACAAGCTTATGTATGGAAATTTCCATGTGAACTTACACGCGGTACATACGCAGAAAACATAATAATCTTGAGCATGTCTACTTTCAAAAATAAAGAATTTCAAAAATTTATAACTCAAAAATGTGGTCAATCATAGACAAATAAGAAAACAGCAATAATTCCTTTAAAATTGAAGGTAGATGCTTTTCATTAACTACATTGAAAAGATGATTAAATTTCCAATGAAATGATGCTATTTTCATTTGTATTGCATAAATGGAAAGCGAGATATCATATTATAAACACAAGAAAATAATTCGAATTTATTCGAATTTCTTACACTGACTTTGACTCCTAGTAAAATTTAGAAAAGTTGGTAAAAAATTGTTACTTTTAGAGACTATTCCTTGTAATCTTAGCGATTTAACAGAGACGACTCTTTTTGTAATATCTCGGGAACTCGATAATATTTTTTACTATTCTGTGTCTCTGTTCAAAGCTAAGATTACAAGGAATAGTCTCTAAAAGTAACAATTTGTTTAACCAACTATTCTAAATTTTACTGTAAGTCAAAGTCAGAGTAAGAAATTAAAAAAAATTAGAATTATTTTCTTGTGTTTATAACATGATATCTCGCTTTCCATTTATCCAATACAAATGAAAATAGTATCATTTCATTGGAAATTTAATTATCTTTTCAATGCAATTTAAGAAAAGCATCTAGCTTCATTTTTGAAGGAATTATCTTTGTCTTTGTGCTGGTTTTTTTATATCTTGAGGTGTTAGCATTCGCAAAATTTCTTTGGTAGTGTAACCGGATTGTTCGTTTTTCGAATAGGCATTAATTTATTGTTTTCAGAGTTTGATTTGGTTACGAGAAAATATATCTCTTCACATCACTTTAATTAAAACGATATTTATTTTCAATAGAATAAAACTAATTATACATAATAATCGAGGTTGAATTAATTATTAACATTGTTTATTTTAAACAATTAAGAAAAGTATGGATTTCAAGATTTATACTTATTTTAAGAGGTAATTTTGTGTGAGCACATGTTGGCGAAAAAACCTTGTACGGAAGTTAGAGAAAAAGGGAAGAAGTGAAATTAGATTCTATGCGCAACTCGTGTAATCTTCTGAAAGGCGCTTAATATTTTAATGAATTTTGAACATTCTGTCCGGGTGCGTTTATCAAACGCAGAAATAAAATGTTATATCACATTATTGAATTCAATATTTATCGTACATTATTTATCGTCGTTGTTATCTGAAACAGGAAGAATCGCCAACTTTGAAAATGCTCGTTTGTAGCAAGACGTAGCTGTTCTAATCGTGGCTGTTCTTGATAAACCGTCACGTCTGGGATGTAACTGATCAATACGACCCATCAACCATTGAGTTGGAGGTAGATGATCTTCCTTGATCAGAACCAGTTCTCCAACCTTGACAGCATCTGTTTGGACCAACCACTTAGATCTCTGCTGCAAAAGGTGAAGGTACTCTTGGGACCACCTTGTCCAGAAGTCGTCTCTTATTTTTGTTAATAGCTTCCAGCGCTTATTAGGCTCAAGAGTGATGTCGTTATGTGTTGGCTCTGGAACTGCAGAAATAGGCCCTCCTATGAGTATATGACCAGGAGTGATAGCTGAAACAGATTGCGGATCAGAGGTATTAGGGTAGAGGGGGCGAGAATTGAGACAGGCTTCAATTTGACATAAGACAGTAGTCATCTCCTCAAAAGTAAGTCGCGTCTCGCCAATTACTCGTCGTAAGTTATACTTAACAGACTTGATTCCAGCTTCCCAAATTCCACCGAAATGTGGAGAATGTGGTGGTATAAAGGACCATGTAATTTCTTGGTTGGCGAGTGATTCAGCAATTTTGGGAAAGATGCTCTTTGCACCAGAAAATAGTACTTTTAACTCTCTTTCGGCACCCACGAAATTTCTATCATTGTCGCTAAAAACCTTAACACATTTACCACGGCGAGAAATGAATCGTTTAAATGCCACCAGGAAAGTCTGAGTCTCAAGATCCGAGACTAGTTCCAGATGAATGGCTCTGGAGCAAAGGCAAACGAATAAACAAATATACCCCTTGGTAGATTTAATGCCTCGACCTTTGGAAGTAATAACGTAATAAGGTCCAGCATAATCAAGACCAGTGAAAGTAAACGGCTTACAGATCGTGATTCTCTCAGCTGGTAATTGACCCATAAGTTGAGTGGGAGTTGCTGCACGGAATCGTGCACACTTCACACATTTTCTTAGAATTTTATTGATAAGTGACTTAGCACTTGTAATCCAGAATTTTCGAAGGACTCTGCTCAAGGTAAGTTATTGACCTACATGTAAAGCTTCATGGTGAGCTTGCAAGACAAGAAGTTCTGAAAATCGAGAATTTTTAGGCAAAATAGTCGGATGTTTTTCATCGTAAGAAAAAAAAGAGTTTTCTAAACGATCCTTTACTCGAAGAACTGAGTTTTGATCTAAAAATGGAGTGAGCTTTATAAGAGAACTTTTAGTAGACAAAGGTCGATTGAAGTCTAGAGCGGTTATAGTATCAGAGAAATAATCCTTTTGGATTAGTTTAATCCAGACTTCAACAGAATGTTTTAGTTCGTCGGAAGTAAGGTATGTTGGAAAATCAGTATCTTGATTTAACAATTTCTTAGCAAAATGGAAGCAGTATGCAGTTGTTCTAATGAGTTTGGATAGTGATGAAACTCTTGTGAGTAGATCAGGAACTTGATTTTCTTGTAACAGGTTGATTTGAGTGTCTTCATTACTATTCTCGAATTTTGACCTAATCTCAAGATTTAATTTAGTGTGAATTACAAGATTAGAGACCGGTCAGTTCTCAGAATTCTCTGTTAATCATGTTGGTACATGCCACCATAAAGTTGAATTTCGAAGTTCTTCAACCTTGAAACCTCGTGTTGCACAGTCAGCAGGGTTATGTTCGGAACAAACATGCGACCAAGAAACATCTTTTAAAATTAAGTGAATTTCACTTATGCGGTTTGCTACAAATGGTTTCCATCTTGAAGGATGACCTTGAAGCCAAGACAAAACAATTTGTGAGTCTGACCAGCAGAAGATTGATTTAACTAAGGGTAATAGTTTCTCGATGACAATTGCGACTAGTTTGGCTAACAGATGAGCGGCACATAATTCAAGTTTAGGCAGGGAAATCACTTTAACTGGTGCTAGTTTAGTTTTAGACATTAAGAGATGAGATTGAGAAATCTCTGATCATCATTAGTGTGAATCCATCGAGGAATCATGATAGTATCGAGTTGATTGAATTGTTCCTGAAATTCATTCCACTTATCCAACAGATTGTTTGAAAGAATTACATCCCAATCAATACCTGCAAGCCAGCAATCTTGAAGGAGAATTTTGTCAGTTAACAAAAATGGAGACAATCATCCCAAGGGGTCGAAAAGCTTAGCAATTTCTGATGCGACCATTCGTTTCGTTGGATTAGTAATAAAAATAGGAGTAATTTTGAAATGAAACTCGTCCGAATTTTGATTCCAACGTAAACCTAACGTAGATACGGAATTTTCTGGATCGAAGACTTTCTCAATTTTTACTTTCTCGGAAGCATTGTCAGGAAGCAGAGCAGGATGATTTGCTGCCCATTTGCTGAGGTTGATGCAAGATGTGTTAAGGATGTTGATGAGATCATTTCTGATTTCAATTGCTCGTTCTAAAGTGTTTGCTCCAGGATAAATGTCATCGACATATGTGTTGTTGAGTAACACTTGCGCCCCTAAGGGAAAACGATCAGCTTCGTCACTAGCTAGTTGTTGGAGTACTCTGATGGCTAGATAGGGAGCAGGTCTAGTACCATAAGTGACTGTAGTCAGATTATACTCTAGCAAAGGTCGACTAGGATCAGCTCTCCACTCTATGCGTTGTAAATTACAATCGGGAAATAGGATTTTGATTTGCCTAAACATTTTTACTATGTCAGCAGTGAATACAAACTTCCAAAATCTCCATCGGCTGATGATCAGCCAGATATCTGGTTGCAATTTCTGCCCGGGGTGCAAGATTTCATTTAAAGATACACCTGATCCAGTCAGAAAAGATCCATTAAACACTACTTTTATGGCTGCTAAAGGGTCATGAGCTTTAATGATCACGTGATGCGGTAGATAGTTGGGTTTAGGAAAATCTTCGTCTTCCTTGGAAACAGGTTCCTTATGATTCAACAAGAGATAATCACTCATGAAAGTGTTATATTTAGTTCTTGCTTCAGGGCTTTTCATTAAACGAGCTTCATTTCTTTTAAACATAGAAATAACGGGTTCTTTAGATTGTCCCAAAAGATCAGGAGATTTAAGTTTAGGAAGTTGAACAACATACTGGCCACCATTGTTTCTATAATAAGTATTTCGAAAAAAGTTTTCGCACTCAATTTCTTCTTTGGAAAGAAATGTCGTTTGAGGCAGTTCTTCTAATTCCCAAAATTTTTGCAGCTGTTCATAAAGAGATTCCTTCTCTTCAACTTGAAGATTGCAAGTATGACTCTCACCATCATTCTGTAAAGATGAACCACCAAAAATGATCCAACCAAATGTGGTAAGTAATGCTGTAGGACTATTAAGAGGACCTTGCTTTAGCCCTGGTAATAAAATGTGTCCGAGAAGATCAATTCCAATAACGCAATCAATGGGTTCTGAAAGGTGGTAGTTGGGATCAGCAAGATCAAGATCCTTAAGATGTTGCCATTTAGTGTGGTTAAGTGTGAGTTTGGGAACTAATTGGACAAGAGATTTAAGCACTAATGCATTGAGAGGTAGTTCAAATTCTGAATCTCTTGGTGATTGCAGCCAGAGATTAACCTTGTAGTGTGATGATCCTAGTGAGGTATTGCCGATACCTTTTTAAGACACATCACATTTTTGTTTGGGTAATTTTAATAATTGAGCTGCACGTTCCGTTATTAAAGTTCGTTCGGAACCAGAATTCAAAAAACCCTTCACGATAATTGTTTTTTCATTGAATGATGTCAATTTTACATAAACTGTGGCAAAGATACCTTTTGGATCACTCTCAAGGTGATTTGAAAGATGATTAGTTTGATAGACAGTGTGACAGGTTACCTGTACAGAGGAAGAAGTGCCTGCAACAGGGTTAGAAGCCTGTACGGTTTGATCGGTTGGTTGAAAATTGTCATGGAGGAATGTATGATGATTAGAACTACATACAAAACATTTCTTTTCTGATGGACAATTTTCTAATTTATGATTGCTTCTCAAGCAGTTAAAACAAAGCTTTAAACTCTTAACCTTTTCAACTCGTTGTGGGACTTTAAGCTTTTTAAATTGAGAACAATGAAATATTAAATGTTTATACTGGCAAAGAGGGCAAGGATTAGAAGAAGGTGTGGAATCAGTCTGAGAATGATTGACTGAAATAATTGATTTTTTCCCTTTAGCATTTTGAGATTTAGGGGTGTTAGTGGAGGGATTCTGAATTGTTTGAGAGGCTTCCAAAGCTCTAACAGTGTTTTCTAAGAATAAAGACAGATCTTCGTAAGGAAGGAAATTTCTCAGAATCTTTCAAAGATGTCTCCCAATCTTCTCTAGTGACTGAATCAAGCTTATTTACTAAGAGGTGAACAAACCAGTCATCCCAAAGTTCGACGGGTCTGCCCATGTTATAGAAGGCTCGAATTGATTCATTCGTTGAGTCTAACAACCGGAGGATCTCATCGACTGATCGTTTAGACGCTGCAGGATAAGATAACAGTTTTCGCATGTGTGTTGATAATAATACTCGCTTATTATCGTACGTTCTAACTAACATGCTCCAAGCCTCTGCATAATTAGTTTCGTTAACAGCAACATTTTTTACTCTTTCCGCGGCTTTACCGGTTAGGGAGGATTTTAAATAATATAACTTTTGGACGTCTGAGAGTTTAGTTTTATCAACCATAGCAGTGAAAAGGTCTCTAAAAGTTTCCCACTGTAATTGATTTCCTGAAAATTTAGGTAATGATAAAGCAGGAAGATGTTTATAAGAGTGATCAGAAGCAATATTACCTTGTCTTACGGACACTTGTGAAGAGGTGTCCTTAGATTGTAGGATGATTGAATTTTTTGTAAAATACATAGCTGCTTCAGTTACAGTGTAATCTTCCTCAATGTTATCAAATAACGACTTGACGTCATATTCGGTTTAAGCATATTCAGTATTTCCAAGTATCCTCCAATGTAGTTCGTAACAATCTTTCCAATATGATTCTAATGTTTCCAGACGTGTTTCCAAATAATGTAACGGACTCTCCTTTGCTCTGGGGGACTTGATAATATCGGAGTGATGTTTAGTAATCCGCTTAGCTAGTGCTTCCTGTTTACCGATGTCCGACATGATGACCAATTCCCAATGACAAGAGAAGCAAAAAAAAAGTTATTTGTTAATTTTCTATTTAAAGATTAAATATACTTAAATTAAGTATGATTAATTTTAAGATTTTAAGGAAAGTAATTTTAACTAAACCTTGAAAGCTTTGAATGTAGTACGTTACTTAAAAGTAATCTACTATTCCCTCTAAGAAACGCAATACACTAACAAGGCCAAAAAAAGAAAGAGACGAAAAAATATGTTAATAGAAAATGTCCCATGATTTTTAAAGTTTTATTAATAGTCAATATTTAATATATATGATATTTTTTCTTCCGTTGTTGAAGTTTGTAAATCCTTTTTTATTCGATTATCGGAATAGTGATAAATGAAACAATGGTACATTAGTTGTGCATTTCGGTGTCTTGGTTTGAAACCATCATCAGGCCACTGGTCATTTCACAAAATTATTTTAAAAAAAATTATTCAAATAAATAATTTGTTATATTTGTTACAATTGTAACACGTCTCAAAAAACATGAAAAACGTCAAGAAATTAAGAGCGAACAGGTTAACATAAAACACTTACTCCAAATCATTTTAGATTTAAAGAACTTATTTTATACTTAGATTCCTCACTGAAGATTGAGTTCCTCATCACAGTTGTGAATAATGTTCAATAAAAGTTGTTAATTTATGTAAATCGTTGAAAAATCCGGCTCGAAGGACCATTATTTATGTTCGTTTTTCGAATAGGCATTACTTTATTGTTTTCAAAGTTTGATTTGGTTAGGAGAAAATATCACTTTACATCACTTTAATTAAAACGATATTTAATTTCAATAGAATAAAACTAATTATACATAATAATCGAGGTTGAATTAATTATTAACATTGTTTATTTTAAACAATTAAGAAAAGTATGGATTTCAAGATTTATACTGATTTTAAGAGGTAATTTTGTGTGAGCACATGTTGGCGAAAAAACCTTGTACTGAAGTTAGAGAAAAAGGGAAGAAGTGAAATTAGATTCTATGCGCAACTCGTGATTCTTTTCAATTGGGTTGCGTGTGACACACAAAGATGATTAGAGTGTAATCTTCTGAAAGGCGCTTAATATTTCAATGAATTTTGAACACGGATTATTTTTTGTAGTTCTTTATAGAAAAATATTAAAATTAAATACTTATTTTTTTATAGTATAATGATGATATTCCCTTCCGAAATTTTTTATATTAAAAGTAATTAGAAATTTCGATCTGTGGATGGTAAAAGTATATGGGAGGGTGGGGCAAACTGGCCATACAAACGGTTTTTTTTACTCTTGTGACTAAACGAATCAACCGATTTCATTTTTTGATGGCTTGTTTGAAAGATCATTTAATTGCGTAACTTTTTCCGAGAGACACCTATACTTTATATTTTATTGTTGAGTTGAAGTGTTAAGTTTCAAAAAATGTTTAAACTGTCCAGTTTGCCCCACTCCCTTGGGTGAACCAGCAACCCCTATGGGGCGAACCGGCCAGTTGGGTTTTTATCTATAATATTGCATTTGTATAATCTACAATAACAACAAACATAGAGAATCATGTTAATAATGGTTGTAATAATGTAAATAATAATACAGGATTGAATTTTAATTGAATAAATACTTTTTTTTCAACATTAACCTCTAAAGTTAAATTTTACACACCTTAAAGTATGTGTAAAGAACCTCTTTATAAAACGGTGTGTAAAGTGATTCACTTTACGCACTGTTTTGTATGTATTAATGATTATGCAGGTATACATAGTATATGTATACAATGTATGTATGTTTTTTTATGTTTTATGTTTCATTTTCTTATATATTCATATATATATAAAAT